TTTTTTTTTTTTTTTGAGACGGAGTTTCGCTGTTGTTGCCCAGACTGGAGTGCAATGGCACGATCTCGGCTCACCGCAACCTCCGCCTCTTGGGTTCAAGCAATTCTCCTGCCTCAGCCTCCCAAGTAGCTGGGACTACAGGCACGCACCATCGTGCCCAGCTAATTTTTGTATTTTTAGTAGAGACGAGGTTTCACCTTGTTGACCAGGATGGTCTCGATCTCTTGACCTCGTGATCCACCCGCCTCGGCCTCCCAAAGTGCTGGGATTACAGGCTTGAGCCACCGCGCCCGGCCAATGTTGAATTTTTTTTAAGGTAATCCAGACAGATAGAAAAAAAAAAAAAACATTACACAGGAGAAAAAGGAAATTTTTACCTTCAACCTCTCCAGTTCTCCCCAGAGGCAACCGCTGGTACTACTTCCTTGTATATTCTTCCTGAAATATATATGGAATGTATAAGGATATATATTCAGTCAATGCTGTGGAGAAAATAAAACAGCCCTCTGGGGTCCGCGAGTGCTGGAGACGGTAGCACACGGTTCACAGGAGCTGGAATCTGAGACCACTACTCTGGGACCAGAAACGACTCTCGTGCACCTGCAGTCCTCCAGGGAAATCTGAAGAGGGTTCCACAGCTTGGATTCTCAGCACTTTGGGAGGCCGAGGCGGGAGGATCGCTTGAGCCCAGGAGTTGAAGACCAGGCTGAGCAACACGGTGAAAACCCGTCTCTACAAAAATAGGCCGGGCAGAGTGGTGCGCGCCTGCGTCTGAACTACTCCAGAGGCTGGGGTGGGTGGATAGCTGGAGTCCAGGAGGTCGAGGCTGCAGTGAGCTGTGATTGCACCACTACACTCCAGAATGGAGGACGGAACGAGACCCTGTCTGAAATAATAGGGAAGGAAGGAAACGAGTTACACGTAAACGCCGCCCGCAATAACCTCGCGTTGGAGCCTCAGTTGCAGACTAGCACGAGTGGAAGCCCAGCAAATGCCCAGCGCCTGCTCACTGGCCCACGGCTATCCAGCGTCGGCTCTCCTTCCCACGCCCTCCCTTCCGGAGCCTGCGCACCAGGGCCCGCTTCATGCAGGCCGGCGAAGCTGAGGACACTGAATAGCCTTTCTTGCCGACTGAGGCGGGAGGAATTTGCTAGTTCCTGTATCCCTTGTCCCTCTCTCTTCCCAGTCTACGATACGAACTATAAATCTTTGAAAACAATTCACCCTAGAGGGGAGGGGCCAGATGCCAAGGGCCTAAGGGCACCCAGGTATCCAGAAGGATTGTGGGTGGAGAGTCGCAGTCACGTGGCATGCTTCCACCAATCAGCGCGCAGACCGCACTTTGCGGCTCGGCTTCAAATAAACTACCGTGAGGCCGGAGCGCCACTGGGGCCCCGCCCCCCTCGCCTGGGTCTGGGGCCCCGCGAGACAGCGGGAAGGGGTGGGGGGGCGCCCAGGAGGGGGCGGGACGCGGGGCCGAGTGACGGCTGGCCTCACCTATTCCGGGCGCGGGCTGAGCCCCGCAGCCAATGGGCGTGGGTGGGGGGGGTGGCCCGGCCGGCAGGGAGGGGGAGCCCGCGGCCGGGGACGCGGGGGGAGGAGGAGGCGGGCTCCCAATCCGGTTCCATCCGGTTCTCCCACCGCCCCCGCTGTGGGTCTCGGCAGCTCGGGCGGCGGGAGGAGTGGTAGCGGCCAGGCAGCCCAGCTTCGCAAAAGCTTTCGGCGCGCCGCGGCCCGCAGGCACCCGGCACGCGCCTCCCCGCCGCCAGGATGCCCAAAAGGAAGGTGAGCGGCGGCCGCGGCCCGCACACACCCCCTGGGGCCGCCTCTGGCCGCCCCGCTGGGCCCCGCGACGCCTACGCTCCGCTGCCCTCACAGTGGCGCCGGGTCCGGGAGGCGCTCGGAGACCCGCGGGCGGGCGGGCGCTCGGTGGCCCTGGGGACGGTGTTCTAGAAGGTTCGGCGGTCTGGGGAGCCGAGGGGGCGATTCGAACGGGGCGGCGGGAAGCCGTGACGTCACGCGGCCGGGCATTGTTCTCGGGGCCGGGCGGGCGCGCGGGTCCTGGGACTGCGGCCCGCGTCCATCCGCGCGTTTTCTTCTCGCAGGTCAGCTCCGCCGAAGGGGCGGCCAAGGAAGAGGTGAGCGCGGGGCCTTCTGCGGGATGTGGGGGTGGGTTTCCCGTGAGCCGCTGGACTGCCTTCTCTTCTCGCTGACTCTTCCTTTTTCTCTCTCCAAGCCCAAGAGGAGATCCGCGCGGTTGTCAGCGGTAAGTAAAGCCAGTCCGTAACCGTTTGTTTTCCGCGGGTCGTCCCCGGTGAGGACGCTCAGTGCTACTTTTGCCTTTCAGAAACCTCCTGCAAAAGTGGAAGCGAAGCCAAAAAAGGCAGCAGCGAAGGTAGGCTTCGAAACGCGCATTGGGATGCAGCAGGGTCTTAGGCTACACTGCTCCTTAATGTGGGACTTTTAATTCTGATGAGCTATTTGAGATTTCTTTATATTTTAATAACTACGGTAAATATTTTTTTTCTAGTCGGGGCAAAATGTAATGCATATATTCATCCTGGTGTATGGGACCGAATCACACTAATGCTGCTGCGGATTTTAGGAGACTTGGGACGACAAAAAATATTAAATTCTAACAAGTATACAAAGGAAATTTATTCTTAGCGTTGCGTACATTGTGGCTGGTGCTTGGCCTTTAATTGTGTGCTTGTACTTCCTCTTTTGACAATGAAAGAGCCAAGTTGGGACTGAGGTCAGGAAAAAGGGAACATATAAATTTTTATATATAGTTTCCAAGCCAACATGGGGGAATGTTGACTTTTTTACGGGGTAGGGGAGGAGAAATCAAAAGTTGTGTCCTTTGAGAACGTAACCGCCACTGCTCTAGAAGTACTTTACCAGCAGTTAAACAAAACCGTGATTTGGTTGCTCCCTAATAAATTCATGATTGCATGATTGGGATTGCAGGTCTATAGAATGAAGTTAGTTTTGGGTATAAGTGTGTTTGATAACTTTCAGGGTGGAAAAGCAGAACATGTGTAAAACATGAATAAATTTTGTGTTCAGAGATAGCATTGAAACTACCATCTGTAAAGCTTACGTGTTCTTCACGTTGTGTTTTCTACTCAAAACTTAGGAGAGTTTGCTATTTGAAGTCTCGAAAAAAATTTAATGCCATCACCTCTTTCCTAAAAGTGTAGGTAGAAGGCAAGCACTGCACAATCATCAGAAGAGGCAAGATTAATTTCCTTGACATTGAAGAGTTCTTGGATAATTATTAAATTTGTCCTTGTTAAATAAAGGTATAAAACAAAGATTTTTTTCTTTTTTAAGATTTGTACAGAGCTCAGTAAAAATCTTAACTATGTTTTCTTTAACAGAAAGTTCTGTTTTTGTGATCTTAAAAATAAAGCTTCAAGGAAGGTATTTTTCAACTTTGCAATTTCTCATACCAGAAGACGATGCGATAATTCTCTGTACAGAGAACAGCACGGAAACTTGATGAAGGCCTAAAAAATTAGCTGACTTTGTTAAAAATGCCTGTGTGAGCGGTGTATTATCACCTATCTTTTTTGATTCTGTGTTTTTAGCTAATTGGCTGAAATATCTGCCTGTTTCCCTTTTTACATTTTTCTTATTTATCTTTGTCCATCTTGAGATCTACTGTAAAGTGAATTTTTAATGAAAACAGTTGCAAGTTTTACCCCCGGTGGGTTTGGGACATCAGATTTAATTGAGAGGCCAACAAGTAAGTCCTCATGTCAGTGCTGCTTGAGGAACAAGGCTATGAGGTCAGCTTTCCCAAAGAAAAAAGGACGGAAGGGATTCGTTTGTTTTTACATCTAGTTTCTGTAATACAACTTTGACTTCATAGTTGATGAGACTTTAAACAGAAGGTAAGCACGTGGTGTATTGATACAATACACATAAAATACTACACAGTAGACATGTTTTCAAAGCATATCTGTCACAGTGTGTACTTCTGACTTGTATCATTTACCTAGAACTAAATATTTTGAAGGTCCAAAATACTCAGAAAACGTAATTGATTTTGTTTTATCTAGCTTATCGGCTCATAATGGTTACAAGTAGTAGTATTTCAAGTCCATGGTATTATTATGTATTCTATTTTAACTGTTTCCCGGTTTTGTATTTTTGGTATTGGAATGGTGATTATGAAATTAATGAGAAATCTTCAGAAATCAGATTACAAAAGAGTAGTTCTTTTTTTAAAGACGAGGTTTCACCACGTTGGTCAGGGTGGTCCTGAACTCCTGACCTCAGATGATCTGCCCGCCTTGGCCTCCAAAGGGCTTGAATTATAGGTGTGAGCCACCATACCCGGCCCAAAAGAGTGGTTCTTAAATACAGAAGTAGTTGTGAAAATTTGTGATAGCAATGTGTGTAGTAGCAGTTTTGTCTCAAATATATTTGTTTCTAATTGATTATTCAAAGGATGTTGAAATATTGAGTCATTATGCTGTCTGTGTGGAATCCCTTAGTGCAGAATACCCTGCAGTGATTTTTCTGCCCATCTTAGCATTGAAGTTGTGGGCTGTACCTGCATGTCTTTACGGCCCTTTAACTCAAGTAATTGGTCAGTACCTGTATGGGTCTTTTATACCACCCGTTGATGCCTAAACTTAGCTGCTGCTGCACACTTAATTACACGGAATAAATGCTAACTTTTCTCAGCATTGATGGATGGTATCCAAAAGTATTTTTATGTTGCTTTAATGTGGCTTAAATTTTGAACTTAATTGTGTCAAGTTGGTATGGTCATATTAATACCGATGCTTTCAGATTTTTCAAACACCTAAATGAAAATGGTAAATTCAAAATTGATACTTCCAGTTTCTCATATCAAGGGATGAACTGTAGCAGGATAGTCAACATGACTGTGCGGCATGGTGCTTTTTTTCAGGTGAATGGTCTTAATGTGAGGGTTAAGGTCTTGTGAGGACAGTGGTTGATTATTGTTCATGTTCAGAAGAAATTTGGGGATGGGTGGGGATACTGTCAATGAGACTTTTCCCATATTCTACCTCATTTGTCCTGTCGTGGAACCGCAGGGAATGGTTTGGATAATGGCGACAGTGGTGAAGTATGGCTCAGGCTTTAGGATTTGTCAAACATCTAATGAGGCTTGACATGCAAGTACTATTAAAATCTCCTTAGCATATGCTGTTTTCCTGATAACTGGGGTGGGTCCTAAGTTGTCTAATGTAATAGGTATATCAACTGATTGATGTGTGATAGACATTAATATGACCGCTATTAACAGATATAGTCATACAAAATGAGATCTTTCATAAGCTTGAATATTGGGTTTTCACTCTCTTGTGAGATATCCCTCTCTCAAACCTTGCTGTGAAGTCAGCACTATTGGGCACATTACTTGTCTGACATGAGGGACAAAAAGTAAAACAAAATGTAAGGGGTAAAGTTTGTACTTAAAATATATTCTTATTCTATCATAGGATAAATCTTCAGACAAAAAAGTGCAAACAAAAGGGAAAAGGGGAGCAAAGGGAAAACAGGCTGAAGTGGCTAACCAAGAAACTAAAGAAGATTTACCTGCAGAAAACGGGGAAACAAAAACTGAGGAGGTCAGAAGTGTGTGTGTGTGTGTGTGTGTGTGTGTGTGTGTGTGTGTGTGAGATTGCTTTTGACTGAACAGTAGATACAAATGATATGTTTTTTTGTAGCAGGTAAGTCTTTATTCATTATAATATTGAACAAAGTTTTGTACAGTATCCCAAAGTGAATGAAGATGAAGCAAATAAAAGACTAGTGTCATTAATCTTTGTTTTTAGAGACAGTGTTTGTTACCCAAGCTGAATCTTTATTGTTTTAAGCTATGAGGAAAAGATATTTTTTCTTTTTATTAATCAAATGAAGCAGTGGGAGTACAGACAGCACAGAGAAATCTGTAACAGGTTTTGATTGATTTGTTGTGAACACTACTGCACTCCTCTAACTGGGAAGCTGTTTCTTGAAAAGTAACCGAAGCAAAGTTCAGTTAAGCCGGGCTTTCATTTTATGTTTGTTAGCTAAGTTAGAAAAGATAAGTACTTTAGGGTAGTAATTTTTAAATTTTGATGTTTATACATCAAATTCCTTTTTTTTTTTTTTTTTTTTTTTTTTTTTT